TTTTAACTTGTTCGAAGAAATTGTCATTTTAGTAATGTAATTTCATAAATTTAATGAGTAAAAGTTTTCATCTTTGGAAATATGCATATTTAACATTTAACAAAATTAACTGAAATTTGTATTAAGAGTTCAACGAATGGAATATTAAGATTTAGTTATTGATCCACACTACACTCAATTTTTTGCACAAATTTTATTTTATAAGTTTTGAAACAGTAATGTCCCATCTTCAGTGTAAATTCTTACGCTGGGACATATCCATGGAATATGCCTAACTCATTTTCGTAATATCATGATTGCACTAGGGAGGAAAAACAATAATTAAATTAATAAATGTGAATTTTTTTATATTCAAAAAAACTTAACAAAAACCACAGTGGTTCGACAAATAATGGCAATTTCAATATATTTAAATGGGTTAAAACTGCTTCGAGATACGAGTGTGGTACGAAACGAAATTAAACTGGTTTGTCGTGATGCCACTGTTAATACAAAAATATATCAGTGAATGATATTTTACTTGATTTGAATCAATTGGTATTATGCCTCCGCTTCCTGTTACAAATAATATTCATTGAAGACTGTTTTATGCTGACGCCATACTAGGAATATCAAAAATAATGTCTTTCCAAACCATTTGTTCTCATAAATCTTATATGGAAGCAACGCATTATATTATGAGTACCTGACGAATGAGACTAAAAAAAATCAATTACAAAATCGGAAAATTAGACGATTGGATCAGGGCACGTTCAAGCCGATTGTACAAGGAATGGCGATCGAAACCAAGACAAAAGAGAGTGATGTTTCTTTTGAATAGAACTTTTTTGTGTGGAATATTTTTGAATTTGTGCATATTTAATGATACCGATATAGAACACTATAAATAGAGTGATTTTTGGTGTATTTAAAACTCTAAGAAAAATGCATTTCTCAGTTGTAACTAGATTTGGAGATGCTCAACTAAAGGTTTTGTGGCCAAGAATAATTTCAAACAAATAATAAATCAGTGATTTGACCAACCTGTGAATAACTTGTGAATTGTATGTTGTTTGCCTTTAGCAATATTTTGAACATTTTCACATGATGTTAATAGAAAGACAACATTCTCATCCAAGATTTCTTTATTAAATAGCATTAATTAATTAGTTTTATCTTTATACATCATCTTTTTACCTAGTTTTGATAGTTTATTATTATAAATATTATTATTATTTAATATTAATATGCTTATGATTAATCATTTAATATTTATCTAAAATTATCTATATTCAGAGAACACTTTGAATTAGATTAATGAATACTTATTAGCGCAATATAAAATATATAATAAAATATCCAGTCTTTACTTCACATGACATGTTTAAATAAAATACAATACTTCAATAATTCGAATTAAAATGAAACAAAAATTATTCAATATTTAGTGCAAATTATTTACTTATACGTGCAAACAAGTTTTTAAAAATAACCACAGCATATTTTGCTGCATATACATTTCATAACAAACGATAAAAATTGGAAATTTAACATCTATGTTTGAAATTGAAAACAGCTGAGAAATTATTTTCACATAAAAGTTCTTGATTTGGAAGAAAAAATATTTGTTTTGATATATTTTGCTCTTTTTCATAGTATAGTTCATTTCCATTCAAATTTCATTAATTTGACAAAATAAATTCGCATTGATTAACCAGTGGCGAATAGCAAAATCAGTCAACAATTTAATTCAACTAATGTTTTATATGAATTTTATTTTAAAATGTGTATTTTCAAAAACTACACATCATATACTTTTTAATCACAGAATGGATAGACCAATATATCTATACTCGTTCTTCATATGTTCATAGAATAAATGGCTGCATTAACTTGCATGTAAGAAACTTTTGCCAGCACATTATCGATTTTGTGATAATTCAATTTTAAACGCAGTGAATATATTTCATATGAACAAACAGAACATTTATACTTTTACACCAAATATTTTTCTTCTTTAAAATTTCTCTAAAAAGATTATTTTATATTTTTCAAGTCTTAATACATCAGTTTTCAGTCATGATTAATAGTAAGACACTTAAAAACATACATATATACATTTAGAATATTATGCATATTTAAACAAAGTGTAACGACAAAAATAAATATTTGTACTAAGAGAAGTTCATTAAGATAAATGATTATGATTACACTTTCTATGGCACAAAAATTAATTTCGTTTCGGCCGTAATTTCGTTGCAATCGAAATATAATTATTTTTGCTGGTGAAAATTTGGTGATAATTTAAATTAGAAGGCATAATTACTATCTTCCATATTTAGAAGTATCACCTATGCCATGTACATGAATTTATCATTAATATAGCTTCACTGGTATATGTTTTATTAAAATTTTGGTAACTATAATTATTCATTTTACAATAAAACTTGAATATAAGAATATTAATTGATTGTTTATTCAAAATTTGGCGCGCGTAGTATTTTATATACTTTTATACTTATGGCGAGTTAATGAAAGCCCCTTTCTCTTATTTAAATAAATCCCAATAAAAAAAACTTTCTTCAAAACAATTTCTTATTCTTATATACTGTAATGTTTATTTCTGGTAAAGTTTTAATATCTTTCAATCGAGTCCCTAGGTTGGGAAATAACATTTAAATTCCTAAAAGATTCTTTATACATTTTATTTGAATTCTTTTTTGAACATCATTTGAAGATCATAAAAGATTGTTTGATTTATATTAAATCAATTTTTTATAAAATTTGGCATTTCATTTGCTTTTAATTAACAACACATTCATAAATTTTGCTAATACATTATAAATTTATATTATGCCGAAAAAAACCTTGTACCAAATTTAGTTCAAAATCAAATCCTTTATGAAATTCACTATTATTTTCACTTAAATTCGAATGTGAAATTTTAATTATCTTGCTGCACTAAATAAAATAATAAAATATTTTAAATCAAATGAGATAATATATTGCTATTAGTCTTATAAATAAATAAATAGTTCGTTGTTTGATTTGATATATATATATATATATATATATATATATATATATATAGTGCACTTCTCA